GGAGGAACTCTCCACGCCAGCCCCGGTCGCTTTCACCCCTGCAGCTGCATGCCCAGCCTGCCGCTGCCGCCGTAGTGGTTGTTCAGCAGCAGCGTTCACGCCGGGCGCCGTTCTAGCGCGGTGGCCTGTGGAACACGGCTGCTGCTGCTGCTGCTGCTCGGGGGGACCGGTCCGCCCCTCAACACCACCACCCCCCTCCCGCGGCGGCGGCGCGGTAGCCGTGGCGTCGTCGCCCGCCGGTCTGCCGGTCGGCGCCGCCGCTGGGGGCCCGACAGCCGAGAATCGCTGGGTAGTAGTCTTCGTCGCCGTGGCCGCGGGTCCCGGTGTTCCTGCCGCCGCCGCCGCCGCCGCCGGAGCAATAGTCGGTGGGGGGTTGAGGAAGGCACAAGAGACGAACGCTTCCAGCGTCGCCCGCTTCTCCGGCTGAGGGACCAGCAGCATGCCCAGGAGTTCTACGCAGGCAGGGCTCAGAGTCACGCCCGGCGGCAAGCGGGGACGGTTCCGCTGGATGTTGTTGATCAGCTCCATCTGTTGTTTAAAGCGTTCGTGTTGGTGGTTAACGTGGGCCTCATCAGTATCAGAACCGTGACCCCCCGCTCCGCTCTACGGCGCAGCAAACGAGATGTCTAGCAGGGTGGTGCCACCCGATCGTCATCGTGAAAATATATCCCGAGCCGTCCAACACCCGGCAAGTCACAACCGCGTCCGATCGATGCCAACGGTCCACACAACACACAATAACAACGGTATTTCACGACTCCATGAGTGCACTTACCTCTGTGTGTGTCTGTCTGCCCTGCCTCTCTCTCTCTCTCTCTCTCTTTCTCTCGAATGATCTCTGTCTTTGTCTCTCTGTTTTTATCTGTCTGCGATGCCTCTCTCTCTCTCTCTCCTCTCGAATGGTCTCTATCTCTGTCTCTGTCTCTCTACCTCTCTCTCTGTCTGTCTGTCTGTCTCCCACCTGATTGGTGCCTGCGAAAGGGTGTTTCGCGGTCATCAGCTCGTACAGGACAACCCCCGCGCTCCACAGGTCCGCCTTGGCATCATCTACATTAACGTTCGCGGAGAGGCACACACAGAAACGCAAGAAACGCAACAACAACAGCAACAGGCAGATAATTTAGCACCGGCCAGCGCCACCAGGCACGCGCGCACTCCGTCGTCGGGTACGAGGGTGTGCTCCAACAACCGGCCATTGACAGGCCGGATCCCATGCGAACCCGGAGTGACAAGCACATCTCAAGTCAGAAGCGGTGACCCGTGCTTCTATAAGGCAGACAGGGAGTGAGTGAGTATCTTCGGTACGCGAGGCTACTATCGACTCAGCCCTTGAATCAACGCGGGTAGAGGCCAGACCACTGCTGCAACCTTTCGTGCCACCAAAGGTGATAAAAACAATCTCATACAGTATCCATGCATGCTGCTCACATGCTCTGTTGCTGAGGACCTCCAAAGCCATATACAAAGGCGAGCCGAGCATGCTCTCCGCTAGGGATCCCTGGGGTAGATGACGAGCCAGACCGAAGTCGGCGATCTGCGAGGGAGGGTCCCAGGAGACAAGAAGGATTACGGGGGTGGGTGGGGGTGACGAAGAGGACGTCATGTGCACCGTGTCTGCTGCCTAGAGTTCGCAACATGAAAGGTGACGACAATTGCATGCGAGAGAAAAATACTCCGCCTTTCGTACAGCTTCGAAAATACCGTGAGGCATCTCTGAACTCAACAAGCTCGCTTTGCGTCGGGTCCACGACACTCCACAACAAGACGGATGCAGTGAGCGGACAACACAAACCTGTACAGTAGCGCCGACATGCAGAACGCGGAACCAAACAGTTTTGAACAAACACCAAGCGATCGTACAGCAGCGCCGACATGGAACCCAGACATGGAACCAAGAACCGGACTCTTCAACTAGCAATACCCTGCTGCTGAAGTGACTGACTTGTATGTGCCTCGCTCTCTCTCTCTCTTTCTACCTTGAGGGATGCCCGTGAGGAGCGGCTGCTCAGCAGCAGGTTCTGGGGCTTGATGTCCCGGTGGATCAGCCGCCGCGAACGGAGGAACGACAGCCCGGCCGCTAGCTGGAGCATGAAGTGCCGCGCCGTCGCCTCCGGGGAGGGGCCCCGCGCCTGGATGAACTGCCCGAGGTCCCCCCCCCCGCAGAACTCGAGCACGATCAGGATCCGCCGCTCCGTGGTGCGGCTATCTCGAAGGCAAACCACGTTCGCTAGCAGAAAGGAGGGAGCAGGGGGGGGGGACACGGGACACGATGAGGAGGGGGGGGGGGGGAGGTACCCATCTTTT